CCTGGGGACCTGACTTGGCCAATCAGACAGACACGTGCACACATCTCCCTGGGGACCTGACTTGGCCAATCAGACAGACACATACATGCCTGGGGACCTGACTTGGATGAACAGACAGACAGACCTCTCTGGGAAACCTGATTTAGACAAGTGCATGCGAATGCGCACACAGCTCTCTGGGGCCTGCTGAAGGGGATGAGCACTCCCCTAGAGCACCTGCACTCCAAGCACCCCCAGGTGAAGTGGCACCCCCAGGTAGACAAGTGAAACAGTTTGCTGTTTCATCCCTGGCTGTTCTTGTCTGGCTCCCTCCCGGCAGACAAGAGCTGAAGGAGCTGAAGGAGGAGGTGAGGAGGAAGATGGTCGAAGGGCAGAGGCAGGCCAAGCTCCTGGAGGAAGAGCAGAAGCTCAGGAAGAATGCAGAGAGGATCTTGAACCAGGCTGTCCAAGCCCTTAAGGACCTGCTGCAGGTGAGATTCACACAGTCTCGGGGATTGGGGTGCACGTGTTCTGGTGGCTGCTTGGCATTAAACAGGCCAGAGCCCAGCGTGCTCCTGAGATGGCGACATTTCCTTGGTTTGCGCCCAAAAGCTAGAATAGCACAGACGCACCAATGGACATAAGACCACCGGGATCACGGAGGTCAAAGGTTAGGAAAGACTTGAGAATTAGAAAGGGAGCAATATTGTCTGCAGGAGCCTGGGAACCAGGACTCCTGGGTTCTATTCCCAGCTCTACCACTACGTCGCTGTGGGACATTGCGCAAGGCACGTCGCTGCTCTGTGCCTCGGTTTCCCCAAGTGTAAAATGGAGATGATTATACTGACCTACCCCATGGGCAGCTGTGAGGCTTGGGCTGTTAGTGTTTCGAGGCGCTCAGAACTCTTTCCAAGGAGAGTCTGTAGAGAGCAAAGCGGTTCCATTAAGAACCGGGTAACACAGGTACAGGCAGCAAACTGTTGGGAAACTCATGAGCTCTTGTAGGATAAAGGAGCTTGCCCACAATTAGATGCCCCTGACTGAGAACTCTTGAGCCGTATTGTTTATCTTGGGTACTTATATGGCCCCCATTAGTAGGACCTGGGTAATATTCCCCCCCCCCAAACACTCCAGTGAGGCAGAGCAGTGCTACCATCCCCCTTGTACAGATGGGGACCTGAGGCACAGAGAGACTAAG